GAGCTTGTTTTCCTTTTTCCATTTCATCCTTCGGTTCTGAAACCAGATTTTTATCTGGCGCTCCGTCAGACACAGGGCGTGAGCGATCTCGATGCGGCGGCGCCTGGTCAGGTAACGGTTAAAATGGAATTCTTTCTCCAGCTCCAGAGTCTGGTAGCGTGTATAAGTCTGCCGGCCTCGCCTGCCACTCGGCCCAAAGGAGGAACCTGGTGGGGATGGAGAAGATGACAAGCGTGTGCTACTGAACATTTACTGGAATTACACATATACAACATGCCAATGTCTATGCTAAGTGCCAGAGTGTGTTGTTGTGTTTGTGGGTGTGCACGCGTGTGTGTGTGCGCGTAGGTGGGGGGGGGGGAGAGAAGACCTATTTCCTGCAGTAATCTCCCTACTCCAAGTGGCCCCGCTCTCTTGTTTCCAACCCTTAGCGACCAAAACCCACTGTCCTAACTAATACAAGGGAAAATCGAACCCACTCCTAATTAGCTTTAGCTTCGAGCTTGGGGACATTTCTTTTTTCCAGAATAATTCTGTTTCACGTTTTAATTGAAAAGTTGGAGATACACTTCCCAGATGCCTGCCCCTGGCTGAGTCTCACTGGGCACCCAGATATCTCAGATCAAAAACTTGCAACTCCACCATGCAATCTGTTTTGTTTGTTTGCTTGTTTATCTTTTTCAATGAGAGGATAAAACTTTGGAAAACAATGCTGTAACCCAGAAGCTTATTGTTTCTCGTTTTGTTGGGAGGGGGGGGGGCAGTTGAGCGAACTGCTTCTTCACCCAAAGACACTGTCTTTCTCTCCCTGCAAACTGGAGTGCCCTCCTGAGCAGTATTCACAGGGACTAAAATTGCTGCGCTGGGACACTTGCTTGGGAATAAATCCCATTCTTCGCCTGCTGCAGTTTTCAGGAGAAATAGGCTCTGAAATAGTCTTTGAACGTGCTGTGGAGCTTTCAAAAGCAGCAGAACGGGAAGTGGCTTAAAAGTGGGGGGTATTTAAACGAAGATGAATGACAACACTCCTTCACAGAGTTGCGTTTCTAAGAGCAATGGCGTAAAGGTTAATATGTCGGTAGATAAACAGATAGATGGATATAAATATATATAAATATAGATACATATGTGTGTGTGTATACACACACACATATACATATATCCTCTCTTTTATTTCTATATTCTCTTCCCCTCCGCTATTCAGTTCTAATTGCTTTAGTCTCCACAACTTAAGTGAAATACCTACCTACCTACCTACCTACCTATACATCTACCTATCTCTGATTTCCCTTAGTTTCCCCTCCCTTTGGAATGTAGGGATGCGAGGAGAAGTTGTGGCTATCCTTCTTTAAATGAATTTTCATGGAAATTATGGCACCTGGAGGCAGTTGTTGATCACAAAGAAGGTGGGGAGAGTGAGTGAAAGAAAAACTTATCTACAACTTCCTCTTCAGGCAGGCATTCAATTACGCTTGAGTTTCATTAAAAATTTAGCTCTCTCTTTTCAAATATTTAAGCCCTCCTGACATTATACAACTGGCTGAATATGCTGAATATGCCTTTGGCTAAATTGGCACAGGGGTACCATGTCTGTATCACTGTGGGAAGAGAGGGAGAGAGAGGGGGGGGTGGAAAATAAGTTGAAATCCAGATCTATTGAAAACAATTGGGCAGAGGGGGGTCAGTTTGATAGCAATTGCAAGTGTGAGTGTGTGCATGCATGGGATGAGTATGAGTGCCAAGACACCTTTCTAAATCACCCCTAGTGAGTTGACAGCTAACATTGCCTTCTACAAGACAGAATCGCTCAATCAATAAATCTCTGCACTTTCAGTTGCAGAAAGTTGGCTAAAGAGAGGACCTAACTCTAGAGAAGTTCCTGCAGATAATATAACAAATATACAAACAAATAAACAAGCCAGGCAGCGTCTTTGAAGCACAGTGTAAGCAGTGCAAAAAAAGTTTGAAGGAAGTTTCAGGCTGTACTGCCTGCTGCTTCAGATTAGAAGAAAAACATTTCCTGCTATATCTGGGTAGCCATCTGTCACCTAACATGATTGGGAAGAATGAGAGGGGGGAAAGCAACTTACTATTGCAGGAATTCATTCTCTGCATCCAAGGGTATACTGGCGTGGAGCACTTTTGATCCTCGTTGTCCCCGAAAACGTGCTTGCTCTGTGAGCATTCTGACTTCCGGGCTTGTTCCTGGCCGAACTGAACAGGCTCCTCTAGGCTAGAAAGAGAACAGCCTGTCTCTTTCTCCCTGTAAAAACCAGATGTCCCGTAATCGCAGGCTGGACTCCGGTTGTAAGCTCCGTTGGTTTGCTGGTAGTAAGGCGCGGCCGCGTAACCTTTCTCCTGGACCCCACCGCCCCCAGTTCCATACGTGCTGGGATAGTGCCTTAAAGGATCCGCGTAGCCCGTGGAATATAAGGGGAGCTGTCCCAGGAAGGGTTCTTGACCCCCGGCTAAGCTCACCGGAAAAGTAGAGTTGACAAAATAAGAACTCATTGGAAATAATAATAATAACAATAACAATAATAATAGTTAACCAGAAGAACAGCGTCTGTTCTTTCCCTTGCTCTTTATGATTTGTTGCGTTTTATAGTCCAAGCGGTTTAGCTATTAGCAGTATATGGGAGATTGGGTTTTAGCTGAAGGGGGATGGCCGCGTGCCAACCAGGGACATAAGGGAAGAGAACCATCTGATCACGCGCTGACCAATAGCAGGAGTCGGAGGCTGCGAAATAGCACCCTAGAGGGGTTAGCTCTGCACAGGGGAACCCCCCCTCCCGCAGAACAAACCAGTGAAAGCATCTCTGCCACCAACACTATCACCTTTAAACAACAGAAACGCCCCCCCCCCCATGCACCACTCTTTACCCCTGTTTCTCTCTCCACACTCTTTATCACATATCTAGGAAAATCTATTGGGGGATATATAAATATATATATGGTAGTAATAAACAAACATGGGAAAAGTGAAAGATATGAAAAATGACACCAATCTTATCCTTGCTGCTACTGTGGAGAGGGAGGAGGAAAACATGGGAAATATTTTCAACTTGAAAAGTTTGTGGTTTTCATATAAGTACCTGGAGGAAGAGAGTTGGAAGGCATATTATCTCCCTCCTCCACACACCTTTGGGTTCAAGTGGGGGCAATGGGGAGCCTTTACTGTACAGCCAGTTCAAGCGCTCAATTGCTGCATCTGGAGAAGGGAGATAAATTCCAGCCAGCCTCTTTTGGTGCGTCCTCTGAGCGCAGGACAGAGCTCAGAATTATTAAACTCCTCGGGAGGTTCAACCGACCGGGCATCTGGAGGATGGGTTTACAATTTATTCTCCGCACACCCGTCCCATCTCCAACTTTCCTGCTTCCACCTGGGTATGTGTTTCTACCCTCACGCGCCTATTTTGTGTCTCGGATCTAACCCAATCCCTCCCGTGTAAGTTTGCGCCCGTGTCCGAAGTCCGAGAGAGCCATTGCCGGTGTTCGAGCTCCGCTCCCACGACATTCTGCGCAAAGAACGGTGCCCTCTTGCGTTTTTACAGTTCAGGCCGCATCTTTGGACAGGTTAGAGTTAAAGGCAGCTGCTGGTCTGACTGCCAATCCCCCTCCCCCATTGATCATCTAACATCAAATTATGAAATTCAAAGCAGGGGATAGTCCCGGGGTGAGAGATGTCAGAATGGTTTATATGAATTTTGGAGGCAGAGGGGGAAATTCCGGTTTTCTATTTAGTGCGTTTGAATTTGCAATAAATTCGGGAATAAAATTAAACTCGCTTCTAATTCTTTGGTCTGCTTTAAAACTTTTTAAAAAGATAACTATAAAGGGAATGAAAAAGTTGACCTAAAGGCTGGAGTTTGAAGTTTGACTTCTCCTCACCAGTTCTCACACTTGGCGGGCAAGCCTCGATCTCCAGCGATAAAATTACCCTGCCTTTAGCACGCTTATGGCAGATAGTTTTTAAAAGATGTGCCCCTTTATTCCCCTCTCCCCAATTCCACTTCTTTTCTATGCAATTGTGAATTCAAGCACTCTTATAACAATGTTCTGGTTTCTTCTAGTAGTTTCAAACTGTAAAATGCTACTTGCCCTGTGTATCATATTGCCACCACTGTCATTCTCATTCTCTCTGTGTGTTCTCTGTCTCTCTCGCTCCTTTTACCCCGACCAATTTATCCATCCGTTCATCCAGCTCCTCTTCCATCTTTTCACAAAAAATAGCCACTACAGCGTGCTGTTTTCGATTCTTAAAAAACTTTGAAGCATTGTTTATCGATCTCACATCCTTCATCCCCAATCTGCAAACATACACACCTCTTTCTAAATTCACCCGTATTCCTGATTTCCTTTACCTACCACAGGATTTCCCTGGGCTTTTGAACAAATGAAACTGTAAAGCAACTAATCTCTCTATCATCCCTTGATTACAGATGTGCAATCTGTTCATAAGAATTCTCCACCACACACCCTCAATTGCTCCCAGACCGGATTTACATGGCAATGCTATCCCTTTTAATGACCAATGCGATTTTTTTTTCTGTCAAGGGTTAAGGAACCACAAAATACGTTGGTTTACTATCTAATTTGTTAGCCTCTGTTTTAATGGCATAGAAACCCACATGGTCCCAACACTACTATGGTAGAACTCTTAGAATGAAAGGAAATTGCAAGCAGGGGGAGTAATTTTTGTTTGTTTGTTCAAGGCACTCTTTCCTTTTCTTTCTTTTTCTCTCTTACNTGCTTTTTAAATGTTCCTTATTTCTGGGTGAAACGGATAAAAATACTTCCCTGCTTCTTCTTCCTCCTCCTCTTCCCCCACCGTAGAAAGACGTTCTGGTAATTTAGGAGCTTCTGAAAGTTTCCTACTCTTGTTTGCTTTACAGTTGCTTAGTTCCTTAACCTTCAGAAATTTATACCCTATAAAGTTTTATGGCGGTCATATTCTTTTATTGCAGCCTACCGCACAGAGTTTTCTTCTCTTTTTTTATGACAAGCTACTCTCCTACTTCTACTCCAGTAATATCCAGCATCTAGCAATCATTTCATTCACCTTTTGGAATACACGGCGTTTGTGTGTGTGTTTGTGTACACATACATACACATGCATGCATGTATGTCTGTGCTAATGAAGATAATGTGCTTGTTTTTTTAAAAGGTTTCATAATCTTTCAATAAGTTGTACAATTATGTGGATTTTGGATATAAACAAAAATGGAAACAACTATGCATGATTTTCTTTTGAGTAGAGAATAAAGATATCCAAGTGACTTTTACAAAATCTAAAATATTATTGTTTTTAATCTGAGTTACTTTTTGGTTAAAATTACAAGACAGTTGCTGGGGCACTGGAAATTTTTTAGTTGGTCTTCCTTCTTTTCTTCCTTCCTTCTCTGAAGAATTCTGGATCATTACCCTTCCATCCCTGTGGAAAACAACCTTCAGTATCTACACTGCTTTCCTGTACCAGGTAAACATACACATTCATTCACTCATACATATTCTCACATTCATTCATTCATCAGTCCTTTATTATTTGTTTTCTGGTCTAAAAGTAACAAGAAAGACTCTTAACTCTTTTAAATTGAAAGACAGATAATTGCTTTATTTCTGTTTTGTTGAAGAGATTCAGGGATGGAGCCGACTTCACACAGAAAGAAATAAAAATACACTGAGAATGAGCTTTTTCTAAGGACAAGGGAGAGAATCTCCAACAAACCAAATAAAACCTAAAATATCTTTATAATACACGCTAAAGAGCCACTAAAGAAAAACAAACACAAGTGCAAATATTTCTGCAGTTTTAGAAGAAGCAGTATAACACAATGAGATATAGGTCAGGGTCCCCTTTAAATCGATTTTTATTCTGTGGGATCAAACAACTGTAGAAAATACATTTTGACCTTATAGAACTGAAGAAACAATTTTTTTCAACATTTTTCCTCTACAGAGACTTTTTTTCTAATGAAATCAACTAGTTTCTCTTATTAATCCATGCATTACCAAAAATGCAGCTTTCAAAAACATCTCTTGTCTTCACTAATAAGGTCTAGGAAAGCGTCTATGTCTAAAATCAGTTAATATGCTAATACATGTGTGGAGAATGTTTTTCTTTACAAAATGTTCATATTAATCTCGAAAGAATTTCAGAGCAGTTTTTCTGCAATCCTCGGGTTGTCTGGTCAGCTTTGAGAATTATTGGAGGCAAATAAAAGCCGTGGATAAACCGGATAACCCGCCAAACCACTCCAAATCCTCCCATATTCTAGCTGGTGCGATGGGCTCTCTTAATGCTGGCAGTTCTGTCTAAAAACCAAACAATACTTCCAGCTTTCTTTTTATTAGGAGAAGTTAAATAGATAAATGCAGAAGCTCCGACTTTTTCCTTTAAAACCCAATATAAAATTGGTTTTGAAAAGAGTATGAAGTTAGTAGAATTTAAGCCTAGGGTATACCATATATATTTCTCCCACAACAACTATTTGTTTGCTTTGTAGAGGATTCACCAAGCAATCCTTCTCCCCTGATCCAAGACAACTTGTCTAAGATGTGAGCATTTCAAGTTTTTGTTTCCCTACCCCTACCCCACCCTCAGGAAACAATTTTTCAAAAACCCGCTAAAATATTATTAAAAAACGTGAGGGAGTAAAAGATTTATTTGCTTGCCTTTTCAGAAAATCCTTCAAACCAGGCAATGCTATTTGAAATGTAAAGTTAAAATCTGCCTATCAAATTTTGAAAGAATGACGGCAGACAAAAACAATGGTAGAAAAATTCTGTACATCACTCTATGAAATTAGATTTTTCTTCTGGGACTCCTGTCTACAAAGAGAAAGAGCCTTACACTTAGGCAAGTATTTTCCCCCCTTTCCCCCCTTCCTCATCCCTGTTATGTTATGAAAATTTCTCACCATAGAATGGTGTTACATCTAAAAAGTGGGAGTGCATAATAGCAGTGGAAATCAGTTTATAAATGTGGAGTCTTAACTGTTTAAAAGCTTAAAATGGTTTAAGCCCCATTTTACATTCTTAAAAGCCACAGAAAACAAGAGGAAGCTTCACAAGAGACATTCACAAACAGTTCTCCCAACAGAAACAACAGCCCTCCCACACCATATAAGCCTCTTGCACTAAAGTAACTTACCTACCACCCCCCTCCTACCTGAACTCCCCTCCATCCAAGCCCTCCAAAAAGTGGGGTTGCACCTCAATAATCATAAAGGAAAGAAAATCCCAAGTCTGATTATTTAAAAGTGAGGAATGGAGCTACCAAATACATGGAACCACCCTTTTTATCTAATGGGGCTGTTTTTCTGTTTGTAAACAAAGGAGATATAAAAAGTATTTAAAATCAAAGAAAGCAATTTCTATCTCAAAAGCAATCAACTACCCTTTTGTGTACGACTAAAAGTGAAATGTGGTTGTATCCTCCAAGACAAGGAAAGGAGGTAGATCCCACAACATTCAAGTATTAAAACTTCTCTGTGAAACTGAATAAGTGAGGCTTGATTCCGAGATCCTCTATCACACTTGGTACTTGAGTGCTCTTCTGAATAACTCTTGTCCTTAATAAATTATAGATACCAAAAGCAAAGAGTCCCCTGATTTTACAAATTTAGGTAAATTTAGCTTCACGTGCAGCTCAAAGGGCTTTTGCTTTCTGACCCTCCTTATCTCCTTAAAAACGTCTTATGAAGAAATGTGAGCAAGCTGGAAAGTTCTTCAACACCAAATAAAGAGAAGGAAAGGAATAAGCAAATCAGGGAGTGTAGATTCTTCCCCAGATGCTGGTCAAAGTTTACTTGGGGCAATGTTTGACTAACCTATTTTTTTCTTTCTTTCTAAAAGCTGCTTATCAAACAGGCTAAGGGAGAAAAGAGAGATGCCTTCTGAATGCAAGCCCTCAAAAAGTTCATGGTTTATAAATGATTTTCCTGGCGTTTTCTTCCTTGTACTCCATGAGTAGAGGGGAGATCTTATCTGTCTTAAGAAAAAGAATGTGGTATAGTGGTTGAATTGGGGTTCACTTGGGTATCTGCACAGTTGTTGGTTCTGGATCAATCCAGTTCCAGCCTGGGGATGGGTGGGGGAGGACATGCCCTTAGTTGATGGCAGGTTTAAGGTCAGCCTTCTTTTCCTTTCCTTTTCTTGGCTTAATCAATAGCATTCAAAGCAACCCTCCTGCAATGACTGCCTTTCCAATGCCTTGCATTACAATTCTCATTTATTTTGGCAAGTTGGGGGGATTTGAAGCTCACACTGCTTGGAACACTTCAAGTTTGGGAAGGTCTAGCAAACAAAAGGGAGTAGCTATGCTTACAGACTATTGCCTGTCAGCAATTACCTTTCAGTGCATAGCGTCCCCCACTCCCCTTATTGCCCCTTGTTGTAAATATATCAGTAAATATATATTAAAAGTGGGGAGGATGTCAAATGGAAACAAGCATGTGTAGTCTTCTGAATCCTTTGCCTACCACCCAAGAGGAGACCTCTTTCTAGCTTGCTTGCTTCTGAAGTCATCTCAAACACAGCTGAGAAGGAAGTCATTGACCATAAAAAAAACATCTAAGTTTGGGAGGAATGAAAATTAGGTAGAACAGAGAAAGGGGAAAGAAGAGGAGGAGGAGGAGGAGGAGGAGGAGGAGGAAGAAGAAGAAGAAGAGGAAGAAGAAGAAGAAGAAAGAAGAAGAAGAAGAGGAGGAGGAGGAGGAGGAGAAGGAGGAGGAGGAGAAAGTTTCACTCTTTTCCCTGTTCCTTATTCATTTTCTTCATTTTCATTCTGCGATTCTGAAACCAAATTTTGACTTGTCTTTCACTCAGGTTCAGAAGCCTGGCCACTTCATGTCTACGGTCCCTGGTGAGGTACATGTTGAACAGAAATTCTTTCTCCAGTTCCAGGGTCTGGTACTTTGTATAAGGGCATCTTTTCTTCCTGGAGGAACGGGCATGCAACCAGTTGGCTGCTGGATTACCTAGAGGGAGGAAAAAACAAACCCAAAAAAGACAGGGTCACTCAGGAATTGACATCAAATCCTCCCAGGTTCTCAAAATCTATTTGGACTAACTTTTGAATTATTTGAAGACAAGCTCATGTGCAGTGGATACCTACCAAGTCTTACCTACAATATATTGTTGGAAAAATAGATGTACAAAATATATCTGCCGCATATCAAAATAGTCATGTTTGACCTGCAAATAGCAAACAAGACTTTAGAAAGAAAAATGAGGGAAGGAAAATCGAAGTGAGTATTTTATCTAAGAGATGGAAGAGTCTATTTATTTATATATAAAAGCCAGGAAGGAAGGAAGGAAGGAAGGAAGGAAGGAAGGAAGGAAGGAAGGAAGGAAGGAAGGAAGGAAAAACGGCACTTTATTCAAATGTTTTAAATGAATCTATTTATATGGTACTTGGATAGGTAAACAATCCACACATATCTTTTAAATATTGGTGTGAAAGGCATATTTTCTGTCAGTATTGGCAGAAAATAGAAATTCCTTCCTTCCTTCCCCCCCTTTTTTTGTGCTACAAGGGAGAAACAAATTGCCTGTCTATGGTCTAGAACACCCGTGTTTTCATCATGACCCTCCTAATCCAGCAAAGTAGGGGATCAAACAGAGAAGGAGGGGTATCCTTTCTTGGAAGCCACAACAGTCTCCCCAGCAGTGGCATATAGCACCTTCTGCTCATGGATATTCTTTTACCCCAAGCAGAGTTTCAGAAGCA